GACAAGGTAAGATTAATCCATATGGGATAGTTAGTTTTCGTAACTGGACGCTTAGAGGGAGGAAATGTCATGAAGTTAAGGTCAATTCAAAAACTCTTGAAGAGGTAAACAAGATCGTTCTGACAGGCGACGTTGTTGACATTGACTCTTACAAAGTACAACTGTGTTCTAAACAAATAGCGTAATGTGATGGCACTAGCTTATGATGTTTTACGAATGCAATACATGTTATAATGCTCAAAACAACATGCTACGATCTTTTGCTAGATTTCTTACCAAAACAGATTTCAAAACACTGAATAACGTGAAAACGAGGTTGCCAATAATACTCGTATAAAGCTGCAAAACTAATTACACGATAAGTATAATAACAATTTCTGCACTGCCATAAACTATCAAAAATACAGATGGGAAATACCTAACAGATATGTCATGATGCCTAATCATTTACAAGCTTTTATAACTTATGAATTTTGCAAAAAAATGCAGCAGTATTATCTAAATCTTCGTGATGGCCATCACAATATGTACACATTTGTGCAATAAATTATTTTTCATGCTTAATATTGATGACTATTGTTGATAATTTGTCAATGGTTACTACTTTCAACATTTTCATAAGTTAATTGTTATTAATACACATTATTAGCCTTATTCTCTCCCAACTGCAATGGGTAAAGACTCGAAGAATCTATTTAATGCATCAGCAAAGTGTAAATAACTTATCTACTATCTATCTGATATCTGAATATCATTCTTTTGAAAACTTACTATTTGACCTAATTATTTCATACAATTATGCCATGAAAAATATACGAAAAGGTGTTTCCCATTTTTTTGTTCATTTGGTTTCCATACGATAAAAATATACCTTAAAAGAACAAGAGTGGTGAACTATTTTTTTTCTAAACAGTTTTGTTAATTCTTTCCAACCACAAATACCTGAGGCCAGTTATGCGGTGAGGTAACAATATATTCAAAACAAAAATGTTATAATTTGATGAAAGTCAACAGGGCACTTATGTCGAACTTTTTACTGTTAAAGGTAACGGAAATTATGTTACCTTTGTATTTTTCACTGTGTTTCTGAGGAATGGCTTGATGTGTTATTAGTCTACAGAACTTCCCATGCTTGTTGCTGTTTGCTGAGATGTCTGATATATTATTGCCTCTGTCATCATGAACAAGAAATAACAAGAACAGCTTTCTTTGAATATATAAATGTCATACCTTGAACAATGTTTCGTTCAAGTGCTGAAAGTGTTTAATACTGTGCGAAATACAAAAATGAAATCTGCATAAACTAGCCCCAAACAGGACAGCCAAATATCATTATGCAATATTTTGCAGATCTCAATTTAGGGAAATAAAACCTACTTGCACCCGGTGCAACCTTATGTGATAACCCTGTTGCACCATACAAAAACCTGCTGCTCAATTTAATTACAAACTGCCGCCATATATACTACCCATCTAAACTTTAGACTCACTAGTGTAAATGTAGTCGTATTATTAACAAAACTTTACACCAAAAAGTCGTCCAACATAGACAAAGACAATAAGTAGTCCAGCACACAGAACACAGAAAAATAGTCCATACACAGAAAAGTAGTCCAACACACAGAAAAGTAGTCCAACACACAGAAAAGTAGTGCAACACACAGAAAAGTAGTCCAATACACAGAAAAGTAGTCTAACACACGGAACACAAAAAGTAGTCCAACATAGACAAAGACAACAAGTAGTCCAGCACACAGAACACAGAAAAGTAGTCCAACACACAGAAAAGTAGTCCAACACACAGAAAAGTAGTCCAACATACAGAAAAGTAGTCCAACATACACGAAGATAAAAAGTATTCCAACGCACAGAAAAGTAGTCCAAGATACAGAAAGTATTCAAACTGTTACTATATATTTGCCACGACTGTGAAACAATGTACACGTACAATTACCATACGACTACCAGACAATGTACACGACTACCAGACAATCTAATGACTACCAGACAATGTACACGACTACCAGACAATGCACACGATCTCTCTACCACAACACGATGTACTGTATACGATATGTCTACCACCACACAGTCTTCTGTATGTGACCTTTCTACAAAAGCGGGGTGTACTGTATACGATCTGTCTACCACACAAAAACAAAAGAAGAACAATTGGAAGAGATTGTAGAAGAACAAAAAGAATCAAACGAAGGTATACAAAATATTGGACATATGCTAGAAACTATATATAAATGGACAGACATATATACTGAGTCAAAAAAGAAACTTCACATAATGTAATTTGAAAAATAATGAATAAGTTTTCTCTCATGATACATCTATGTATCCGAAATGGTATCCCTATCTTTCGACTCTAGGATATCGTTAACCCACTCAAACACATCCATTCATCGTGCAAATGACGTTAGTGCCAAATCAGGTTTTGAATGTGCAGTCGAACACGTGATCTTCGCATCGAAGTTTTCTTCATATGCACGTGTTTGCATTGGCCTCAAGAATTGAAAACGTGCAACGTGAACGTGCCGTACTTGGCATGTTGCAAGCGGGAAGATCAGTTATTGACGTCGCAAGAGCTATGGGATGCAGCCGTCGTACTGTGTATGACTTGCGAGGTTGTCTACAATAAACTGGCACCACTTGTGATCGCCCAAGGTCGGGTGGTCCACGTGTGAAGACCGTCAAATCGTCCTACGTCACCTACGTGACAGATTTCTACACGAACCAGGGCTGAGATGTTTAGAGGTCGACTGTCCTCACAGACCATTCGAAATCGGTTGCGGGCTGCCAATCTCCATTCTCGACGTCCATATCGTGGGCCAATATTGACGCTGTTTCATCAACGTCAACGTCTGCTGTGGGCCCAACGTTACCTCCGATGGACCCAGAGAGACTGGAATCGAGTCGTCTGTAGCGATGAATCCAGGTTTACCCTCAGATTCGCGGACGGCAGGCATAGAGTCTGGAGACGACGTTGTGAACGGTATTCCCAATGTTGTGTACAGGCAGTAGACAGATTCGGGGCGGAAGTTGCATGGTGTGGGGTGCTTTCTGTGGGAACAATTGTTCCCGACTTCTGGCAATCCGTGGAAACCTCACAGCTGCTGCTTACCGCGACCAGGTGCTCACCCCTGAACTCGTTCCTTTCATGGCAGCTCCAAGTCTACAGTTCCAGCATGATAATGCTCGGCCGCATACCGCGATGTTGACACGAAATTTTCTTCAAAACGCTGGAATCAACATCATGGACTGGCCATCCAGGTCCCCTGACCTTAATCCAATAGAGCACGTTTGGGATGCACTTGGGAGAAGGCTTTGTGGTCTTAGGAACCAACCTCAGAATTTGCAGGAACTTGGCGCTGCCTTGCAAGAGCAATGGCGCAGAATCCCCAACCACGTGTTCACAAGCATCAGGCAGTCGATGAGGAGACGGTGTTTGGCAGTGGTGAATGCGCGGGGCGGCCATACACGATATTGAACTGAGAAATTGTGCAATTTTTATTCTTGTGACTTGACATTCTGTATACCCATGTTTTGGAACGGCGGTGTAGCTTAATGGAGCTGATTATGGCACTGTCAGTGTATCGAGTACATCACACAGCTCTCAGCAATGAAATAATAACAATTTAACCATCTTACCATCTCTTGTTCTTTTATAGTGCCCTGATGAAAGAATGTGAAGTTTCTTTTTTGACTCAGTATATATTCCGTCATCAAAGGAATTCCAATGCGTTTTCTAATGTAATGGTTCAAAAATAGGTGCAGGACCTATTTTCATCGCAACGAATTGCAATGCATTCACAATTCGGATGTAATGTGAATGACATATGATAAAATAACTTAATGCTTTTTTTGGACGCAACGCAAGAAAAATCGGATGTAGTGTGAATCCCCCCTTATCGAGTGTACGATATTACTATCCACGCGTACGGTTTGGGAAGATTGGGACCATCTAGTCTCTGAAATCAACATATTTTACAGATTTAAGGTTTCTGATTTATAATCAATCAATCTATATTCAATACTTAGAAAGGCCACAGGCCTGTAGTACATTTAGAGTTTACATGAGTAGATAGAAGTCATTTACAAATTAGTTTTCATAACAATCGTTTTTCTTAATCTCATATCGAAATAGATGTACATTGCCAGATTCTGTAATAATAATGTGGCAGTGTCTGTTGACAGTGAAATTAGTTTTCTTACACTTGGATGCTATAATAGTATGGGTTTAGGTATTTCGCTCGTAGATTCGTATAAATAGGACAGATTAGAAGGAAACGTAATTCATCCTCATCAGTATTCATATTACATAACTGACACATTCTTTTTCTCTTTGTATACCTGCATACCTGAATTTTAATCAGAAAGTACAATTAAAAGGAGCCCAATGACTTTATACTTTTTAATTCTCCGTGTGCTTTAAGTTTTCTTGTTTTAATGAAATAAAGCAATAAAATACTGCAACTAAGGTAAAACACTACTATAATACCCATATTATATAAAACATCATCGAATAACATCCACATGGGTACAATGTGTGAAGCCCATTTTAGGTGTCCCCCGTCGTGATATTGCCGAAATATTGCTAAAAACGATGTAAAACTAAACTCACTCACTCACTCATCGAATAAACATTTAGTGTTAGTCGCCATCAAACATGATTGGCAGTCTAGGTCACAAACGAAAATTGTGGTAATTGTGCAGAACTAGTTTATTGTCAATAGAACAGATGAGAAATCGTAATTTTAACATCACACAAACGATATATGTTACAATAATGAATGTTTGCCCCAACAATGCTGGCAGGGTCTGCCATTCACGTCTGAATTATTCTCTATTGTGCGCTTTGGCAGTGGCTGTATGTATCTCGGCTTTGCGGAAAGCGTGTCATTCGCTCTATCACTTGATCTGATCTGACAAGGCCAGTTCACCATACAACGTAGACCTGATTAAAATACGTACACTCAGCTGGCAAAGATCACACTGCCCAACAATGGCCTCGGATGGTGGGTGGGTCCGTGTTGTGACCGTCTCCTGGCTCCTTGTGCTGTCTCACGGGCAGAGGAAGCTGTATGTGAGGGACGGGGCTCTGGGTCTGGGTGGGGAGAAGGTGTATCTGTCGGGGATCAATCAGGCATGGGTCAATTTCGCACATGACTTCGGACAAGGAAACTATAAGAAATCTCGACCCCACCTGATGAAAACGTTGGATAGTATCCGCGACAATGGAGGGAACTCTTTACGTAAGTAGTGTGAGTCCATGTTCAGCCAACTCTGCTATTCTGGATACTTAAAATATATCTTATAATTAAAATTTATAACTTTAATTACGGATCATTGAATACACATTACGTTGTACATTCAGGTTTTATAGTGTCCATTGCATATGAAAGCCGGTAGAGTGAGAAATGGAATGTTTAAAAGTTTATGCAAAACATTTTGAGATTAGACAAACGGTTGCATCAAACGCGTAAAAGCTCCATTGTAGGGCAACGTGTTTCGGAAACGTATTGTTCTCTGTGAACCAGCTTGTCAAAGTACGAGTTGGTTCGTAAAGGTCAGAACAATTAACCGCATTTAAAACGGAATTTTAACAGGAAGCAGAACACGTGACCCATGATCGTATTTCTCACAGCGGATGTTCAGTACTTCCCTTATATTATGCTTCCCTTGTGTAACCCGTGAAGATCCGGGTTAGAATTGATCTTCAGTAAATCACGCTTGTCATAAGAGGCGACTAACGGGATCGGGTGGTGAGGCGTGCTGACTTGGTTGACACATGTCATCGTATCCCAGTTGTGTAGATCGATGCTCATGCTGCTGATCACTGAATTGTCTGGTCTAGACTCGATAATTTATACCATAGCTAGAATATTGCTGAGTGCGTTGTAAAACGTATACTACTCACACTTTGCTAAGGATCACAAAAATTCGCAACTTTTCTTAAACGTAGATTTACAATTTGAAATTGTATCCATTTAAAAAATGGATAAATAATGATATGGTAACACATCTTCAGGAAAACCGCCACTTTAAGCTAATCGTATCTGCTTGATACATAAGTAACCATAAAAATGGTTTTCATGGCACCAGTCAACCATTTTGCAAATCATGGCACGGGTCATTGACAATCACACAACGCTTGTCAATAGCAGGTATGGGATCCACCAGATCAAATGACATACAGACAACTTGGATCCATGCTTACAATAGGATTAGATATTTAAACCAAATGTGACCCCACATCATAGTTTTCTATTGAATCAATGATTTAATCCTTAGCAAAGTGTGAATAGTATAGTTCACATTGAGTGTCTGAATGGAGGCAGTGGAGTACAGTGGTAAGTGAGTTGTCTCCCGACGCTGAGTCTCGGTTTCGAACCCCACATGGTTACGATGTGACAAGGCCATTTCTGGTTTTTGCCACCTTAAAAAAGATATACTACCACATTCTCTCACTCACGTACTCACTCTACCATCGTTATGTTTCTTAAGCGACGGGGATTGGTTGAGTAGCCAAGTGGTTAAAGCGTTTGTACGTCACGCCGAAAAAACCGTGGTCGATTCCCCTACATGGGTACATTGTGTGAAGCCCATTTCTGGTGTTCCCCGCCGTGATCTAATGATGGAATATTGCTAAAAGCGGCGTAAAACCCAACTCACTCACTTTAGCGGCGGTGCGTGAGAGTAGTGGTTAAAGAGTTTGCACGTGGAGCCTATGACCGGGTTCGATTCTCCACATGAGTACAATATGTGGGGCCCGTTTCTCCTGCCACCCCAGCACACGTATACACGATTGCCCCTTTACCTCATCTACAGGCACAATGCATCACAACTGAAACATCGCTCACAACGTGTAACAGTTTACCGTGCACTCATAACATTGCTCAAATGATGTTAAACACAACTCACTGACATATCGCGTATTTTGTGGAACGAAAACATATTTTACGACCGCTTGTGCTAATTTATTTCACCTCCCGTGAGTGTAAGAGAAGTTTCCTTTTCCCTTGCCGATGAAGTACGTAGCGTGAGGAGTGAGTGAGTGAGTTTTACGCCGCATTCAGCAATATTCCAGTTATGGCAGCGGCCTGTAATTAATCGAGTCTGGACCAGACAATCCAGTGATCAACAGCATGAGCATCGATCTTCGCAATTGGGATATGTAAACCAAGTCAGCGAGTCTGACCACCCGATCTTACGACACGCATGGGTTACTGAAGGCCAATATTCAAACCCGGACCTTCACGGGTCTTAGCATAAGGAAAGTTTACATTAAGTATGAATGGAAACACTAACGTGAACTATTTCTCTGACAATGATTTGCTATTTCGAACATGTTGAATGAAACAGCTGTGTTACAATGTATGCTTTTGAGAGCTTGTTTGTACCTGTGACCCTGAGATCTGGGTTAGAATTGGTTTTCAGTAACCCATGCTTGTCGTAAGAGGCGACTAACGGGATCAGGTGGTCAGGCTCTCTGACGTGGTCGACACTTGTCACCGTATCCCAGTTACTTAGGTCGATGCTCTTGCTGTTGATGACTGGATTGTCTGGTCCAGAATATATTATTTTATTATGAGTGCGGCGTAAAACAACACTCAATCAAAATCCATTTCAGTTTAGTATTCCATCGTTGCAATCTTTCAAAAGTTCTACATATCTTTCAGTAGGTAGAATGTTCCAAACGGAAGATATATGCAATGTATAGCCTTTAATAATCCATATCTTCAACAACAAAGAAAAATGTTTGTACAGGAATGTGGCTCCACATCGATGGCTCGTCTACACCGAATTTCAACAGCTCTGGCTATGTGACTGGCCTTGACCGTGACCTCATCTGTGACCTCACCGATTTCCTGAACGAGGCTCGGGAAAGAAACATTCTCATCAACTTGGTGTTATGGAACTGCGCCGTTAAACCTGGTAATTCGTAACAGCACTGATCCAAATATCGAAATATCTTTTTCTGCAGTTTGAATTTTTAATTTTATTTTGTGCTTTGTCAAGTTTACAGAGGTCCCAGCCCTTGTATATTTTAATGACCTTTCTCAGCGAAACATTTTTCTAACTCGAATAATTTATTTTGTGTAGATATCGGCCTGCCTCCACGATGCTATTTGATGGAACGTATCCATTATCTAGAAAATAGGTCATGGTGGGGTAGCTTAGTGGTTAAAGCGTCCGCTCGTCACACAAAAGACCCGGGTTCGATTCCCCGCTTGGGTACAATGTGTGAAGCCCATTTCTGGTGTCCCCCTGCCGCGATATTGCTAGAATATTGCTAAAAGCGTCATAAAATCATACTCACCCTAGAAAAACGAGAAAGAAAATTTAGTTTAAGGTTCTCAAGATAATAGTCAGTCGGAAAATGCAATTTTTGACATCAGCAAATCACATTTCACTGGTCTGCTATCTACCATGTATTTAAACTGTTACTGACAGGCTAAGGATATGCAATTGTAATGAACATGCAATCAACCAGTTTTCGTTCACTGATCGTAAACTGCTAAGCAAAAGAAAGTATAAACTTGAAAATGAATTTGACCAAAATATTACGAAACGTTTTCCAAAGTACTGAAAACAGTCTTCGAAACACAACGGATTAGGCCTATTCGTATCAACTGCTTTACCATCAAGGAACATTTTAATGGTTGTTTTTTCTTTTAGCCAAACATTGGTGAATACCTATTTACTATGTGAATACCAGGGTGCCGTTGTACAAAACAACCTTAGCACTAAGACTACCTTAAGTCTATGTTAAGGTATGGGAGTTACGGCCACCTTAGAGCTAAGATCGCTTTGTACAACGGCACCCTGTTTACTATGTTTGGATTACCTTTGTACTCTGAATCAGGGGACAGACTGGGCGGCCTTCTGTCTGACGACTCGAAGCTGCAGTCCTACATAGATTACGGTCCGAAGCCGCTTGTGAAGGCCCTGAAGAACAATTCAGCACTGGGGATATGGGAGATCATCAACGAACCGGAAGGATGCGTGGACGTCGGTGAGAGCACCCTCCCCATTCAGTAGAAGTCAGTGATATTACAGCTACACTACGGTGACCTGTAAAACATATACCAAACTGAGACACAGTATACTGCATCCCAACAAGAAATTGTTTTATCGCCCAAATGTTGAAAGCCAGGCAAGGAAATATCAAGTACCACATTTTGGTATGATTATCCACTGCTCAATTTTCCCTCAAAGCAAGCATTTATCTGTGAAAGGAGAAGCGAAACTTGTTTATGAAACAGTTATTGATATGGGTAATAGGAGAGAATTTTTATTTTAAGCGATAGCTATGAAGGTAAAGCGAAACACCAGCTTTTAGGGCCTCGAAATTACTGGAGAATGATATAGAGTCGTCAATGAACAGTTACACCAAAGTATTTTTGTGAGATATTGACACCGACTATGCTCAAAAGGAGACTGACCAATCAGAGAGCAGTACTACTTATCCTATGTGAGCCGTATACCATCAGTAAGAGTCTAAGATGGTTGTTGATGACGTGACCCGTGAAGATCCGGGTTAGAATGGATCTTCAGTAACCCATGCTTGTCTCCCCGTGCAGATCCGGGTTAGAATTTATCTTCAGTAGCCCATGCTTGTCGAAAGAGGCGACTAACGGGATCGGAAGGTCAGGCTCGCTGGCTTGGTGGACACATGTCATTGTATCCCAATCTCTGGATTGGTGGGTTCAGACTCGATTATTTACAGCTTGAATATTGCTGAGTGTGGCGCAAAACTAGACTCACTCACTGACTTAATTAATGCCGTAAAATGAGACCATGCTAACACAGATTGTGCCAGTAACAGCCATCTTAAATTTTCCAACTCCCTTTTCACATGGTACAAACATTCGTTATTCGACACTGTTCATTAATCATTAATTGTGATGTTCAAGGACAATAATATTTAAAAAATCAAGTTCCCGGCTCCAATGATGAAAATTATAGTTAAAACTTACAAGGTTTGAAGAGTAATCTCCCTTTGACCCGTGCCTTATCGAGGCAAACCGCTGTACTGGTCATCTTTGGACGTGACATCAGCGATAAGATGCCAGGTGGTATAAAGTCAATAAATTAGCGCCGAATATAACACATATTAACGCTGAAGGGGTCGTTGTCGGCACGGGTACTACACATGTGTACCCCAGGTACGTTTCTGTTTACAGAAATGTACCCTAGCCAAAATCAGAATACAGAAACGTACCCTTGGACGATTCCATTCTGAATTGTGGAGTTTTCTTGATGGGATACTGTCATACATACAACGGTCATACTGTTGTATTAGATGCATTTGATATCGTTATATAAGAGCATACACAGTAACGAATATGTCACGGTGCACAACGTACATCACTCACAATCAGCTGAACGGGAACAACTACATACGGTTTCGGTTTTAGGTTGCGGAATATGGATTCGTAGGTCGTTTAGGGTAGCGGGTACGTTTCTGTAGTTTGTCCTTGTTCAGGGTACATGTCTGTATACAGAAACGTACCTGGGGTACATATCTGTAGTACCTGTACCTACAATGACTCCTTCAGCCATATTAACCATACGAGGTTAGGACAGAGTAGCTTCTACGTGATCCCCGTGGCCACCGTGGTCTGAAGTTAGGTCTGGCGATCAGAAAAAGAAAAAAAAAAGGTTCATATCAACATAATCAAAGAAGATCATAATCTGCATCCTAGTTGCCCCTTAATTTGCATGTTTAGGGGTGACTTTGGGGAATCTGCATCTGGAAAGGATCTGACTTACAAAAAAGGAACAGAACAACAAAGAAAAACATCAGAGGACATCAACTAGATTTTATCAGATATTACCATGTCACAAATTTAATAAGTATCAATAAAACAAAGATGAATGTTAATATCGAGCCCTTAGCGTCCTTGTGAATGTTCACTTGTCCATTGGCGTTTGCTCGTCACGCCGAAAACCCGGGTTCGATTTCCCACATGAGCACAATGTGTTAAGTCCATTTCTGGTGTCTCCTGCCGTGATATTGCTGGAATATTGATAAAAGCGTTTGTGATCCGACCACTGGCAACAATTGATCATCGATACATCAATTTCCGTATTATCTATACGTCAGGCTACGATCACGTGACGTATTACCTGTACAGTAGACTATGGAAGATCTCATAATGCATTATCCAAATTTGAGAAAACCGTCGAATCTGTTAATGCACTAGCTATATTGCAGACACCAGTGGTTCTCATAATGCATTATCCAAATTTGGGGAAATGGGCGATCATTTAATGCATTTTCTATATTGCAAGACTCTCGGGTAACTCATAATGCATTACTGCGGCGATAAACATACTGCGTTGGAAAATCAGAGGCACATAACGAAATTCTAATGGCTGTAAATTTGATTTAATTGAACTATGTAACCTGATTATATACCTCTGAATGACTTTAATTAACCAATCACAATCCAGTATTTATTTACTGAAGAATTTACTGACTGTTAGAATCGGTTTTATGGTACAATGAACATCTTTTAGAGCGCCAAGGCTGCAAGTGCCATTTAAAGAAACTCGCGGAATTAACTTTCTGTGTTTCCTATTCTCCAGACTCTCGTCACAGTGGGGTCGTGGACATACAAGTCGGTCACTAATCAGTTCGGAGAGACGCAACTTACTCTCTGACCACTGTTTGCGGCTTTGCCAGCGGTCAAAACAACAGCGGCCTTGACCTTTATGAGATACACACGTATTCTACGTTCGGCGTGTATTTGCCAGCAGATCCCTTTAAGTTGAGTTGGGATGTGGAATTAAACCATGTATATTGCATGCAATGACTTATGAAAAACGTGACCCGTGAAGATCCGGGGTAGAATAGGTCTTCAGCAACCCATTCTTGTCACAAAAAGGCGACTATGCTTGTCGTAAAAAGGCGATTAACGGGATCGGGTGGTCAGGCTCGCTGACTTGGTTGACACAGGTCATCGGTTCCCAATTGCGCAGATCGATGCTCATGCTGTTGATCACTGGATTGACTGGTCCAGACTCAATTATTTACAGACCGCCGCCATATAGCTGGAATATTGCTGAGTGCGGCGTAAAACTAAACTCACTCACTCACTCACTATGACAAACGTAACTTATATCAATGTACGTGACCTACGACGACATCTCTGCGCATGCAGGTCTGCTTTGTTGAACCCTCCGCGAAATACCCATGAACATCCGGGTTAGAATTGATCTTCAGCAGCCCATGCTTGTCGTAAGAGGCGACTAAGGGGATTAAGTGGTCAGGCTAGCTGACTTGGTTGACACATCTTATTGTATCCCATCGTAAACACGCTCATGATGTTGATCACTGGATTGTCTGGTCCAGGCTCGATTTGTTTTCACACCGCCGCCATATTGCTGGAATAAACAACAAACACACAAACTCAGCAATCTTTGGTTCTTGAGCCAATCATCTTCAGCTCACTAAACATTTCGGCTTCATTCTTTACCATCTCTTTACTCTGAAAGAAAACCAACACAGAATACAGATATATCTTTCACTGTACTCCCTTCTTGAAGTTGACTTCAACGCGCTCAGAAACGACCTTATTTTTAGAGTACCCACAATAATGTAATGGCAGACCGTGGGGATATGGAGTGAGTGAATTTAGTTTTACGCCGCACTCAGCAGTATTACAGCTATATGGCGGCGGTTTGTAAATAATCGGATCTGGACCAGACAAGGGATCAACAGCATGAACATCAATCTACGCAATTGGGATGCGATGACATGTGTCAACCAAGTCAGCGAGCCTGACCACCTGATCCCGTTAGTCGCTTCTTACGACAAGCATGGGTTACTGAAGGTTCATTCTATCCCGGACCTTCTCGGATTGTGGAGATATGGAGCGATTTATACCTGTCTAAATGATTCACTCAGTCAGAAGTCGCTAATTGGCCCTTTCGAAAGATGGTCTGACTCAACTTTCTTCCTGACCTTTTACCGTGTCGTGGTGAGATCTTCGTGCAAATAGGGGTCTGTGTATAAATATCTGATTTTAATAAGAATATGATATAAATTCCATTTGTCCACTTTCTAAAACTACTAGCGTGTTCACGACCAACCCTACTTGTTCTCGGTGTTTCATTTAATGCTCATACCCCCTTGTAATACAAACCAATAACAGCGATTTGAAACTATGATCCTAAGTTGAATAAAATTCTGAGATTTATATGTTCAGTTGGCAAGGTAGAATTTTGAGGATTTGCTATCTTAATTTCACTTTATTCCATTTACTTTTTTGTTTAAAGTGAAATTTACCGGTACGTTTTCACTGCAAACAGTCTATAGCTGCAGTAACAAACCAAATTTGTTCTTATTTCCTAAATGCCAGAACACGTGGAATTAAGGGGTGATTAACTGCACGTGTGACCAATGAATATGACCAATCCACAGGTATCGGCGACAAACAACACCTTGGACAAACCCGTCATTATCGGTGAGTTCAGTCAAAAGGAGGGAGCCGAACTGACCGCTGCCCAGCAGTTCAGCTGGGGCTATCACCATGGTTACAGCGGCACGTTGGGATGGAGCGCCAGGGGAGGCGACTCGGCAGCTGATAAACCCCGCTTGTACTTGAAATAGGCATGCGCGAACTCCGAGGGCAAAACAACCAATCAGCGGGAGGAATGGTTAATTTCGTAATTCCCTCTCTCGACAGTCACAGCTGGTGTATGTATCCAATACGGTGTTTATTGTTTTTGTATTCATTTTTGATGAGTTAATTAAGGTTTTGAATTAACGAGAGAAAATAGAAATTGATAAAACATTAAACTGTTGCACCATCGGCTACAACCGTTCAACCACATCTATGGTCAAGTGGACAGAGGGTTTGACCTGTGAGCAGAAATTTGCTGGTTTCATACCCGACCGCGTCTTTCCAAAAGAGAATGGTACTCGTTGTTCCCATGACTGTCGCCAGACACCAAGGATTTTTGTTGTTTAACGCCGCACTGAGCAATATTCCAGCTATATGGCGGCGGTCTGTAAATAATCGGGTCTGGACCAGTCAATCCAGTGATCAACAGCATGGGCATCGATCTAC